ATGTTCAGGGGGCTTCTCAATTTCATTTGGTTGGAGATATATTTGTCTTCTAAAATTTTAAATATGCTGATTACCACGAATGTTATACCTGCATCCATGAAAATAATAGTTGTACTGGTGTGAATATCAAATTCTTTAAGGTTTTAATAAGGATATAATTTGGTATAAAAATACAGATATTTTAGAAGATAACATTTGGTTTTAGTGATCTACTTGTAAAGCCTTATTTCCAGTTCATGACTTTTTATAATTTTTTTTGGATCTTCTGTAGTAACTTTTTCAGCTACATTTGTATTGGAGGGGTAAAAAAATATTCTAGTTTATGAAATACGTTATACATACTGAATATTTCCGTGTCCCACTATTTATCCAACTGTTAACGTATTGTCTTGCACTTTTAATCCTTACACTTTCTTTTATGGGATACATGCTGTCCAGTAGCACGTATAGGATTTGTGTTCGCAGTTAGTACACGATTTGTGTTGACGTTCTGATGTCACTTTGTTGGTTTGCATTTCATTTGGGATATATATTTTTTCTAAGGTTAATGGATTGCAGATAAACTGCCCAGCTACATTTAAAATTTACTCTTATAGTATTGGATGAGGCACTATCACTTCAAATACAGTTTGAACAGAAAAACGAACTTATTCACTTAACCTAACTTTGTACGAAACTCGCAGATCTCCACCGAACCTTACCTGACGGTGGTTCGTAACGGACTCATTCCGGGTGTTTGAGTAATAAATATTGTGTAGTAATTTCAGTCTTATTTGAGTGGAGTTTTTTGGAAATGAATTGCCTGAATGATACTATTCAAACTTAACGGGCCATTCACTTTCGGAATTATCCACAATCCGGACAGTTGCTATACATGCTACCGAATATAAATAAAAAATCTAACCTTGAGGCTTCCTTCCGTCGAGCAGGTGCAGGCGGCTTGCATTCACGGACTGGGAAAATCCGAGCATAAAGGTCGCGTCGGGGCGCTGCCAGAAGCCCGCAGGGGTAAGGCAGTAGCGGCTCCCGAAACCGCCGCAGCGCTCACCCTCGTCTGATGAGAGGGCGCCAAGTCGCGGCAGTAATCGGCCGCCCGCCGCAACCCCCTGCCACCCTGTCATTAGGGGTGCAACTCTATGCATTTATATTGGGAACAACGCGTTTCCATTATGTGGACTTCTGATTACCGCTTTTCTCGCTGATCTACAAGCTTTAATTACGGTGTAAACAAGGTTTTTAGTACGTTTTTAATACTATGTCCTCGGCGAATCGGGCTGCAATCTATCCAGGTTTTTGATACGTCTGCACACGATGATAAATAAGTAAGTAGATAGTGTCTACATCGCTGTTATTAGGCGAAATGGTTATGAATGACCAGTGTATCGTGCGGAATACTCAATGAGTAAGTTTAGGGGTAAATTTACCCCTCAATGTGGGCTTTCGATTAAGCACTAACGAGCATTTCTATTCTTTCTTGTGTAGGGGAAGGTTAGCTAGAATCGGAGCCTTAAGCATTTCCACAATTTTTAATCATGCTAATGACTTAATGTGATAAAAATATTCACTGTAACGAACATTGATGTATTATAGAAACTCTTCAAAGCCTTCGAGAGGGGTACTTCCTATATTTTTTGGTATTTATCTATTATAAATATTTTTGACCCTATCCATAATTGGTGATTTGAAACGGTCAAAATGTACCGGAAAGGAGACAATTTTTTGTGTACAAGGCCTATTTATTGCTATAAATCTAAACTTATAAAAGTGAACTCAATGACACGTAATTGATATCGATTCCACAAAAAGGAGTGTATGAGTAGATACGAAATATTTACAAGCTCTTCTTCAGGATTTGACGCAGTATCCTTGCAAACTCTGATAAACATTAATATAAAACAAATGCGGAAAATAAATAATTTAAATAACATGCTGGTAGGGCCAGATACAGATAGAGAAAGACATAGACAGACAAAAAGAGTCTAGACTGGTAGTCCAATAGACCAGACTGTGCAGTTCTAGTGGAAATCATCTTCAACCTAAATATTGTATGATACATCCATGGGTTGACATGCTTTGAAAATTCGATTGTCACACACGAACTAAGAGGACAAAAAATGTTTATTGCCAATAACATAAGTATTGCTTCTAATTCACTTAGAATATACAGTAATTATATTTACTTCGAAGCAAGGCATAGCAGTTCTTATTTATTTTCAAGCACACAACATTACAAATAAAAAAATGGCGGTTACATCCTAAATCTCAGGTCTTCTCTTTCATCCTTGTCAATGGAACTGTGGTGCGACAACACTGCTTGTCCTAAAAAATACGCCTTGCGCTTTTATCTTACATGGCACTAAGGAAAGGTATTGCTAAATAGTTTCTTCTTTATTAAGGATTTTTTCTTTAAAATCTCTATAATATTTGCATAATTGCTATTCTAAAGATTTCGACTTACTATATTAGCGCGAACGAGCCTTGTTTGTCGTAAAAGTTGATGGATTAGTCATAAAATGAAACATATATATTTGAATTTTCCTTGAGATGAAAAAATCGAAATATTTTGAATTAATATGTTTTTAATTATCACCAATGATAACTCGGACATCATCAACCCTAATAAGGATAAAAAAAAGATACACATTTAGTGAAAGTTCATTTCGTACTAGCAATTATAATGAAAATAAATACAAATATGCAAAGAAGAAACTATTTATATTCGCGGTGCCCAAAGGAGATGCCATCCAGGCGCTGATCAGTGATATGTTCCCTGTCGAACCGGGATTCAGCTCTCATCGTTCAACCAGCCACGCGCATCGCCAGGGTAGC